ATAAATCATAGAAGTAAAAGGAAGAAATAAAATTTGTAATTCGAATGTATACATAACCGTATGCGATAAGAAGAGAGTGTGACCAGAGCGATCGTGGCCGTAGCCATGGTAAAAATAATGACCAGAGTCAATGTGGCCGAAGCCATAGTAAGAGATGATGACCGAAGTCATGGTGGCCGGAGCCATGATAAAATATGATGACTGGAGTCATAGAGGCCGAAGTCGTGATGGAAAATGATGACTGGAGTCATAATGGTTGGAGCAGAGGTAGAGCATGTGACATGTGGTCATAGTAACCAAGACCGAAGTAGAACATGTCTCTGTGGCCAGAGCCGAAGTAAAACACTGTCAGTTAAAAAGTGCAATTGTAGAAGTAAACAGAAGTGCTGAGCTAGGCTTAAGTATAAAGACGGGAGTCAAAATGGCCGAGACCATAATAAAATATAATGACCGAAGTCATAATGGCCATAGCCAAAGTAAAATGTGTGATATTGGATTACTGTGGCCGAAGCCGAAGTGAAACACTTGCATAATTGAGAATATGCAAAAGTGAACGGAGGTGTTGAAATGGGCGTAAGTGGGCCTGTCTAAAAATTCTGACAGTCGTCCTTGGAATGACGTGTGCAATAAATGAAGCCGTAAAAGGATAACTGCAACAGTTAAACGGGCAAATTTCAAAAAACGAACCATCGAATTCCAAACGGTGTCCTTTGGGGTTGGCCGTTGAATTCCAAACGGTGTTAATAGTAACCGTAAGATTAAATGAATCTCAACCGTTGAGATCTAATTTTGCCCAGAGGTATAAATAAGCATTTTTCCTGCAGAGAGAGGTTTACTTGAATTTCTTTTCCTGCAAAACTTCTGCGAAAAGCTTTACTGTGCGTTTCCTGTTCGTGAACTGCGGCATCAACTGGGGACCTCTACATCAAGCCTTTCGAAACCAAAATCAAGTAATGTATGACGAACCTCTGATTTTGAGTTAATCGAAGTGTCTCTCTCCTTTCTCCCTTTCTGTGATTGATTTAAAGTCCTTTGAAGGAAGTTAGGGTTAGAGGTGAGGAGGATTTTGAATGTGCAACAAAAGGGGTTTTTTTTTTTTTTGGGATCCTGACTTATTCCTCCCCCCTAGTTCGTGCAGAGTTTGAGAAAATGTCGTCAGAAAGAACACAAAGTATAGTAGGGAGTGAGGTGATGCCTTTGGACTATGGGAGCATGGACTCAGAGAGTAGTCCATCTCCTTCTAGTTCGGAGAAGACGGTAGAGAAGGTGAGAGGGGATGAGGTGATAGAGGTAGGGGAGGAAGAGGTAGTAGAGGTTGGGGGTAATGAGGTGGTAAGGGTTGGAGGAGATAGCATACCCATAACCGTAGTAGAAGTAGAGGGTAGAGGCGAGAGGGATTATGATGTGAACGCCGAGATAGTGGAAGAGGTGCAGCAGTATAGGTCTGAACTAAGGACCAGGGATAGCCTGGGTCACTTAGTGGAAAATTACGAGATCTCTTCTCGAGTGCTGGTTAGGCGAGTTGGGGTAGAGGAGAGAGCGTGTTATGCTCCTCGGGACCATTGGATGCCCATATATTCCCACTATCTGATAGCGGGATTGAGGTTTCCAATTCCTGAGTTGCTGGTAGGATTGTTATTAGATTACAAGATAGGGTTCACACAATTAGTCCCCAATGCTATGAGGGTAATAATAGGATTTTTAGTCTATTGCCAAGCTCAGGGGATTAGTGTGCCAACTGTAAATATGTTTAAGTATTTTTTGTTTTAAAGGGAGGTAGTATGAGGGATAAGGGGTGGTATTACTTCACCCCGAGGGTAGCCAATAGGGAGAGTAGGTCTTTATTCACAACGGGTCCTTCATCCATTAAAGGATGGAAGGAAAAATTCTTTTTTGCGGATGATACGGAGTGGGGGAGAGGGGATGCCGAGGTGAGGGAGCTAGCCTCCTAGAAGGCTAAAAGGGCCAACCAGAATAGGTTTAGTTTGAATGAGGATGAGGAGGAAGAAGTGAGGAAGTTGGTGAGGAAGAGGGGGGATTTACTAAACATAATGGACCTCACCAGCGCACAATGCATAGAAGCTGCTGAGCTCTATGGGCCAAGCGCTTTGAGTGAAGGTTGGTTTAATTCTACATTGTAGTACTGAATGCAGAATATAGAACTGTGATTAATATTGTGTATTCTTGCTTTGCAGCTGAAATGGACCAGTTTTTAAACACTACTGAAGAAGCGGCCATCCCCAAGAAGCCAAGGAAGAAGTCAAAGACTTCAACCAAGCAAATGGATGAGGAGAGGGCGAGGAAGGAGGTAGTGCTCACGACTTCAGCTGAGGCAGAGGAGGAGGTGCCATAGTTGAAGAGGAAGGGGTGGGAGGAGAGGAGGGCACTGTAGAAGAAGCAGAAAGTGGTGGAGGAAGAGAGGGGGGAAGAGGTACCACAGTTTGTACCTCAACCTCCTCTTGTTGAGCTGAACCCTGAGCTTAGACAGTTGGAGGAGGGGGCTGAGGTACGAGCTCATGGTAAGGGAAAGGGGCCTGTTCCCCCGCTGGGGCCTAAGAGCAGCCTGTTCGAGGCGAAGAACATGACGGGGGCTAGGTGGTTCATCAATAGCACCTTCCCCGAAGTGGACAAACACAACGCGCGAGAGGAAGCTCTGAGGTATGGTGGAGCATCCGTTGTGAAGCACGTTTTAAAGGTATGTTAAAGTATTGATGTTGTTTAGTTAATCTGTTTTGCCTTCTCTTCTTTCTCTCTTAACCTTTGCTTTGATTTACAGAGCGCGAGCTGGGTGAATGGACTAGCCCAAGAATTCAGGGAGAGCCTGAAGGAGCGCTCACTCTTGCAGAGGCAGTGTGACCAGCTGCAGAAGGAGAAGGAGGAGTTGGAGAAGAGAAACAAAGAACTGCAAGAGTCGCTGAACGAGGTGGTTCCTACTGTGAAGCAATTGGAGCAGGAGAGGGCTTCCCTGAGCACCAAGCTCGTCTTTGAAGAGAGCAAACAAAGGATCTCTGAAAGCGAGCGTGAGGCTCAGGCGCAAGAACTAGAGCTGACGAAGGAGGCTTTCTTGGAGCTGAAGGAGAATGTGCAAACCTTGGTGCATAATGGAATGAAGGAGCACATCAGCAACTTCATCAGCTCCAGCTCGTTTGACAACATCGTCAACTTATATCGGCTGCCCACTACCATCATTGCATTCACGGACTACAGGAAGAAGGTGAAGGCAGAATATCCCGAAGTGGATATTACGAAGATTACCTTCGGAGAGCAAGAAGAAGGAGTGGAGGAAGATGGTGAGAGCATGTCAGGAGACTTCTGTCCTCAGATCAACCTGAGGTGGGAGCATGATGCAAACGGACGTGCTGTATTCCCTCCCCAGTTCGACTTCGAGTTCGTTGCAGTGGAGGAAGAAGGGGTAGAGGTAGAGGGAGACGAGGTGGAGGCAGGAGTGGAGGGAGCTGAAGTGGATGAGAGCGAACCAGTTCCAGAAGTGGAGATTCATCCAGTTCCCTCCGACGATGAATAGCCTCCTCTGCCAGACGAGCAGCAGCCAACATAGCCATCTCCTCCAGCTGAGTAGGAGCCAGTGGAACCACCTCTCCCGGCATAGAAATAATTTTGTTTTTTAATTTTTTGTAGAAACATTAATCAATTTGTAACACCATTATTTCGTTTATGTTTGTTATATATTTTTGTTATCTTTTACGAATAAAAGAACTGAGAGTACTTGAGACTTGATTTGAAAGAAAGCTAACTTCTTCATAAATGAACATAAGGGAAGTAAGCCACTTCAGACGAAGTAAATCACTTCATATAGATTAAGAACAAATACATCGAACAAGAAATAAATCTCAACAAACACAAAGTGAGCTTCAATGAATTAAAAAGAAATAAAACACTTCATATGTGAAGTGACATTTATTAACAGAAGTGAGGTTCAAGGAATGAATGAGCTGATTGACCTCAGATACATAGAATAAGAGGTAAAATAAATCTCAATAAACACAAAGTGAGAAGTGTAAAGAACAGTAAGACATAGATCACTGGAAAGAATTTTATTAGGGGTAAAATTTCTTCAAGTTATTGACATTTCAAACTCTAGGAACTCTCTTTCCTTCAACGTCTTGGAGGACATAGGCACCAGGATGTGGCACCTCGGCCACGGCATAAGGGCCTTCCCAATTCGGGGCGAGCTTGCCAAAATGAGTTTCAAACCCTGTTAAGCCAGCTTTTCTAAGAACAAGGTCTCCTACTTTGAATGTTCGAGGGCGGACCCGTTTATTGTAGAAGTTGGCTAGTTTCTGCTTGTATACAAGAGTTCGAAGCCGAGCTTCCTCTCTGACTTCGGCAAGCAGATCAAGGTTTTCCCGAATCAGTTGTCCATTTCGTCCTTCATCGAAATGGGTGACCCGGAAGCTTGGGACTCCTATTTCAACGGGAATGACTGCTTCGGTGCCAAAGGCCAAGTGGTAGGGTGTTTCACCTATTTCAATTAGTTATAACTTTAGAATGCGCTTTACACATTATGCATATTTGCTCTAAGGTAAAGCGTAACAGAAGAAGTAAAATAATATAGAAATTAATCAAATAGATTTGGTTTAAAGTAGTACCTATGGCAATTCGGCTCGTGGTTCTGTATGCCCAGAGGACGTTGTTGAGCTCGTCTGCCCACTTGGCCTTATGTTGTTCCAATCTCGGCCTTATACCTTCCAAAATGCATTTGTTAACAAATTCAACCATACCATTGGACTCCGGATGATAAACGGAGGTGAACTGTAACTTGATCCCATAACTAGAACAGAAATCTTGGAATGAGGAGCAATTGAATTGAGTTCCATTATCGGCCACAATCTGATTCGGGATCCCATATCTGTAGATGATCGAGCTGAAAACAAAATCTTCGACCTTCTTGGAAGTAAGACTAGATAAAGGCCGAGCTTCAACCCACTTTGTAAAATAATCAACACCAACAACCATATGGGTTACACCACCAACCCCTTTCACGAACAGGCCTAAAAGATCCAGTCCCCACTGAGCAAATGGCCATGGTGCTACCAAGTTCGTGAGCTCCTCTGCTGGTTGGTGAGTCAGATGTGCAAAGAATTGACATTTCGGGCATTTCTGAACAAAGTAAGTGGCATCTTTATGCATGTTTGGCCAGTAATATCCTTGCCTTAAGACTTTGTGAGCCAGAGTCCTAGCGCCGACATGACTCCCACAGACACCTTCGTGAACCTCTCGAAGTGCATATTCGGCTTCATAGGGGTTTAAACACCGCAGAAGAGAAAGTGAGAAGGATCTCTTATATAGGACCCCATCAACGAGTGTATACCGAGATGCTTTCTTTCTCAACTTCATTACCTCCTGCCTGTCCTCAGGTACTATTCCGTCTCGCAAAAAGGAGATGATTGAATCAGTCCAGCTCGGCGCGTCAAGGTTTGTGCTAATCTCCATCACCCGAGGCTTTATGAAGCTTGGTTCATCTAGGACCTCGACAAAAACAGATCTGGAACTTAAAGAGCTATTAGAGGCAAACTTGGAGAGTGAATCTGCCTGTTCATTCTCAGTTCGGGGGATTTTGCTCAGACAGAATTTCTGGAATTTGCATTTCAGCTCGGACACCAAGGCTGCATATTTCACCATCACAGGATCAACGACTTCGCAGATTGAGTTGATTTGGTTTACTACCAATTGGGAGTCGTTGTATACTTGAATTACGCTGATTTTTAACTTTAATGCTAGCTGTAGGCCAAGTAGCAGAGCTTCATATTCAGCCATGTTATTTGTTACATCAAAGTTGAACTTCAGGGTATGTTCGCTTCGGTATCCCTCTGGACCAATCAAGAGAGCGCCAGCCCCTGAACCCTTGCTACTAGATGCTCCGTCAACATATAAGGTCCAGTCGTTGGGCTCGGGATTAGAGGTTGAAAGACATGGAGTACATTCGACAATAAAATCTGCTAATGCTTGAGCTTGGATGGCCGATCTCTGCTGAAGCGTTATCTCAAACTCCCCCAGTTCTACTGCCCACTTAATTAATCTTCTAGAGCACTCTGGTTTCTGCAAAATCTGCCTGAGAGGTTGATCTGTGAGAACAATGATTGGGTGTGACTGGAAATATGGCCTCAACTTTCTGGCCGAAGTGACAACTGCTAATGCTGCTTTCTCAGCTATAGGATAACTCAGCTCTGCCCCGTGCAGTACACTGCTAATGTAATATATTGGTTTTTGTTGCTTGACTTCTTCTCGCACCAGAACTGAACTAATGGCTTCATTTGAAATTCCCAGATACAAATAAAGAATTTCCCCATCGATGGCCTTAGTCAGTAGAGGTGGCGAGCTAAGATAAGACTTCAGCTCGTCGAATGCAGTTTGGCACTCTTGATTCCATTCAAATTTCTTCTGTTTTCCTGATTCATCCTTCTGGGCGGTCGACCTCATAATCTTGAAGAATGGCAGGCATTTGTCTGCTGACTTCGATATGAATCGATGAAGAGCTGCCACTCTTTCAGTCAACCTCTGTATATCTTTTACTGATTTCGGCGGTTCCATATCGGCAATTGCTTTGATCTTCTCTGGATTGACCTCAATTCCTCTTCGGGAGACCATGAAACCTAGAAACTTTCCAGACTCCACGCCGAAAATACATTTGGCTGGGTTCAACCACATCCTGTTCTTTCTGAGGTTGTTGAAGGTTTCGTCGAGATCAGCTAGATGATCTTTTGCTTTCCGGCTCTTTACTACGATGTCATCAACATACACCTCTAGATTCTTGTCGATCTGAGCTCGGAAGACGATGGTCACCATTTTCTGATAAGTAGCACTAGCATTCTTTAAGCCAAACGGCATCATGACATAGCAATAGATTTCATTGCCAGCATAGAACGAGGTTTTCTCTTCATCTTCGGGAGCCATCGGCACTTGGTGATATCCAGAATATGCGTCCAAGAGGCTTAACCTCTCATTGCCCGAAGCCGCTTCAACTAACTTGTCAATGCTCGGCATCGGATAGCAATCCTTGGGGCAGGCTTGGTTAAGATTTGTGTAATCAATGCACATTTGTCATTTACCGTTTGCCTTCTTCACCAGGACTGGGTTAGCCACCCATTCGCAGTAATCAACTTTCCTGACGAAACCAGCTTGTAGAAGTTTCTCTACCTCTTCTTTAATAACCTGAAGCCTCTCACCCCCGAAGAGACGCCGCTTTTGAGCCACTGGTTTCTTTAACGGGTTGGTGCTGAGCTTATGTTGAGACACTGAATTTGGAATCCCCGGCATATCCGCCAAAGTCCATGTGAATACATCATTATTAGCTCGGAGAAAAGCTATTAATTCTGCTCGTTCCTCTGAGTTCAATCTAGTTCCAATCTGCGTCTTTCAGCTCGGATCTTTGTCATCAATGAGCACCTCTTTGACATCTTCAACCGGAGCAGCTCTAGTTTCATCTTCCGGTCAATTATCTACGATCTCAACGCCCATAACTTGCTGATTATCAGAAATTCGTTGGGGAATGGCCTCGGGTGGTTGATCTTTGCCCTTCGTAGGTTGTGTTACCGAGGTGATATAACAATGTCTGGCCACCTCCTGGTTTCCTCGCAGTGTTGCTATGCCTATAGGAGTTGGGAACTTCATACAGAGATGAGACTGGGAAACCACAGCTCAGATTTTAGTCAGTGTGGGTCGGCCAATAACAATGTTGAAAGAGGACGCCATTTTGACTATGAGGAACCGGACTGAAGGAGTCACATAGGTCCTGCCACTTCCAAAAGCCACATGGAGGGTAAGAACTCCTTCTACCGGAACAGGCTGGTTGTTGAAGCCATAGATAGGACCATCATACTTCTGCAACAGTGCTAGATCCAGTCCCAGACTCTCGAAACAGTGGAAGTACATGATGTCTGGTGCGCTCCTGGTGTCAACAAGGACACGCTGTACTTCATAGTTATTAATCATGACAGAAGTGACCAAGGGATCATTGTGGAGTGTAACAACTGTATCGAGATCAGCAGACGTGAAAGTAATGGGCTGATTTTTCCACTCAGCATCGTCAATCTTCCGCTTCTGAACCCGGTTTTGATGTTTAATCTCTCTGACATACAGCTTTCGCTGCTTAGAGCTCAGTCCACCTGCTTCAAGGCCTCCCGTAATCATGTGTATGATTCTGGCTGGGGGTGGGAGCGGAGGTGGGGCTTGTTGATATCCCACACCTTGCCTATTTGGGGGATTGCGGACTCCTTGGGCCTGTGGCCTCTGTTCTCTGATAAACCTCGGCTGTTCAGCTCTCTGAACATACTCATTTAGCATTCCCTTCTGAGCTAAACTTTCTAGTTCGGACTTTAAGCTGTTGCACTGCTCTGTAGTATGGCCGTGATCTTGATGAAAATCACAATATTTTGTGTGGTCTCGACTAGTAGCAGCAGTTTTCATTGGGCCAGGACGCCTTAAATCCATCTTATTCTTGATCTGCATAAAAATTTGTGACCTCGGCAGATTAAAGGGAGTCCAATTAACTAGAGTTTTACCTACAGATTGTTGCGGGGATGTTGAGTTCGGCCTTCCGAATCTCGGTGGGGAGGTTAACATCGGACCTCGGTTCTGCGCCATCCTCATCCTTTTCCTGCTCGGATTGTCATCTCTCCATTCTGGGTGCTGGTTCTTAGAGGGAGGTGGGTTTTGCGCCAGGGCGTACTCCTCAGCAGTTATAAATTTCAGAGACCTATCGTTCACCTCGCTAAAGGTGGTGGCAGCATGTTTGATCAAACTGTCTCTGAACCTGTCATGCTTGAGATTAGAGATCACAGCTGCAATTCCCACAGCTTGATCAAAGGAACTAACCTCTAAAACTGCATCATTGAACCTGCTCATATAGTTCTTCAGAGATTCTCCATCCCTCTGTTTAACTCGCATCAGCTCAGAAGTAGTTTTCCTAATCAACCTTCTACTGGAAAACTTAGTGGCAAAGGCAGATGCCATTTTTGTATAAGAGCTAATTGACCTCGGAGGTAAACTGTAATACCAAGTTCGGGCATTACCTCGGAGAGTAGAGGGGAAGATTTTGCACATTAACGTGTCAGAGGCGTTCTGAGCTTGCATGCAAGAGTAAAAAGCATGCAAATGATCATCAGGATCCTTCGCCCCGTCATAAGTCTCCAGTTGTGGTATTTTGAAGCTAGCAGGATAGGGTTCCAGTGTAATATTGGTATTCAGAGGGTGAGGTATGGAGTCAATAGCATGGTGTGGGGGTGGAGCACCTCGGTGTTTAGCTACTAGCTTTTCCAAGCTATCGAGGCGTCGAGTGACATCATCAGGGATGGGTTCTTGAGCGGGTGCGATGTGGGATTGACCCTAAGATTCACTAATAGCGGGAGCATGCTGAACTGGTTGAGGATTCTGTTGTTGAACAGGATTCAGTAGATTAATGAGGGGGTTACCAGGATTGTTTCCAGCTAAAAGCTGAGCCAGTACCAACTGAAAAACACCGAACTGTTGTTGCATGGCAGCAAGCTGAGCTGTCACTACATCTTGGTTGTCAGTGGAAGTTGAGTTGTGAGATGAGGCATGAGGTTGGTTTTCATCTCCTCCCTCTGCATGATCAACAGGAGGGAATATAGTTGGGACCTGAGGTGGAAGCTGAGGTGTAAGTTGAGGTGGGAGTTGAGGTGGGATCAGAGGTGGAAGGTTGTTGGGGGGTTGACCTTGCCTAAGAGGCAGAGATGACTTACCAGCTCGGACTGATCGAGTGTGAACCATGATGAAAGAGCAACTAGAAAGCTTTAAGTTCGATTCCCACAGACGGCGCCAATGTAATTGTACCAAACCAAAAGTCCTTCTTCAGTTCGCGCTTGCACTCCGAGATGACCTACAAAGCCCCGAGGTGGAACTCGGGGTAGACACTCCGATGCTTAAGTCAGCAATAATCGGGGCTACCTTTAGGGCGGAGATAAAAAGAGCTTAGGGTTGGTTTCAATTACCTTTTGACATGGCCCGGAGGGGGTATTTATAGGATCCAATGAGGAATCCATGTGGCATGCCAAGCAAGATAATCAAAGCCTGACGTGTCCATCCAGACGATTATTCCGGGACCGGGAATTTGAGAGGTATTCAGATGCATAGGTGTCCACCATACCTGCTGTGCCACTCATCATAAGGAATCAGGTGCGGACATGCTTATCGTCATTATCATGCAGCTATTTGAGCGAGAAGCTTTGGATTCATTCCCCACTTCGGTCATAAAGGGATTACTATAGCAGTCGAATCTTGGCACCTCGGACCTGTCCTTACAGGCTCGAAATTGAGCTTGGGTGTCTACCACATTGTTGGAAAGTATCAATTTTCTTAAAAGGATGTTGATTGATACACATTGATTCAAAACATTGTATAGTATATTTTTTTTTAAATCATTATTTTTTTATCTAAAATTAAAAATAAATAAATTAAAAATAAATAAATTCAAAAATATAGTTATACATACAGATTGTAAAAATTGGTTGAATCATTTGTATTTATATTGTATTTTTAATAATTAAATTGGACAATTATCAAAAAATGTGTTAAACTAATTGTGAACCAATTATTTTCCTTTTTAAAATCAAGAGATTTTCATAATCTAAAGAATCAATATTTGATTCTTAAATCAAAATTTAATTTTAAATTATTGTAATATCAATCGCACAAATCTCTCCAATCCATTATTGTTATTCCATCCATTATTGTTA